TTTCAGAAACCCAAAGCCTTTCTCATTTTAAGAAACTAAAACCCAAAATTACCAGTTCAAATATTTTAAGGATTTTGGATAAAAATAACTCCAAAAAATAGTGTATGCTTCTCTACTTTCTTAAACAGAACATATAGAATATTTTTTCTAAGCTTAGTGACTCAAAAACCATCATTTTGAATATTAATTACTGTTGAAATCTATAATAAAATGATGTTTTTAAGTTAGCGAGGCATTATTAGTGTCAGTTCCTCTTGATACAAAATGATTCCAGATTGTTATCCTTTTTCAAATGTTTGCTTCTTTCTTGTATGAGTAGTGTCTTTCCAGCTATCATTTATTGCTGCCTTCACCAGACCAACAGCTGTTAGTTTCCCCATCTCCACATTCCACTTGTGAGTTTTGACCTGCTGTAGATTAATATACCGAAGTAAACATTCTTGTTAGAATTTTGTCAAAACTAATAGTAAATGGGTAAATGAATAAGTAAATAGTAAATGAATAAGAAATGAGGTAGTCTCATTTAAAAGAATTTCACCATATAACTTTGTTCTATTTATGCTATATGTTCAGAGAACTTTCAACTTATTTTCTGGGTCTTTGCAGTGCAGGAGGGGGTTCAGACTATTGGGACTGAGTATGGCCTTATAAATTGCAGTGATCTTGGGCAGAGAAGAAGCGAAAACTCAACCCACTCTCTGGAGCTGGGCCATCGACACAGAGACAGACTCAGTGGGGTTACCAACAATTAGTGCACACTAGCTCATAGGACTGTAGCCAAAATCTGGAGTTCTGCTGTTACATTTGTTACAGGACCTTTTTAAAGGTTATACAGCCATTTACCTTCATTAAGTTCATTTCTCATAATTATCTCTTAGATTGCTTCCAGATTTAAAAAGTTGTAGAATATTGGTATTTACCTTAGAGTATTCTGCCCTTTTCAGTGTGTATGCAATTTCAGTTCTTTCACATTCATACTTCCTGAAGGAAATATCTAGTCTAATGAAAAATCTAACTTTTGTGCAGTTATTATGCATGCATACTATACATTAATCTTTACCACCAGTTCATTCCAGTTTCATTAAAACTCCTGACCTCATGGAGTTTAAATATTTAAGGAGACTTCTTACTACGACAGTAGGCAAAAAGCCAGCTAGCCTGTCATACAGAGCTGCCTGGGAATGTTCTTTAATCATGCTCTTTGCTTTCAATTTATTTAGGCTAGTGCTTTGGTCAGCTCCTCAGTTTAACTTCTTTATGTTTACCAATACCTGTTAATAACAGACAGTCAAAATCATGTTGCAGCTGGATAGAAAGGACCTTTGAGAGATGGGACCAAATACAGTAAACTTTCTTTGTTCCAACCAGTAAGCATGTGATATATCTAGAGAAGTAGAAAAATTACTTCCACAGATTGTTTCATGTGTAAAAGTAAAACCGTATCAATCATACACATAAAAATATGTTTTATTTACTAATCCCTTTAGATGTCTCTGTCTGTGTACTTTTGTCTGTTTGTATGTGGTACGTTCCCTCTTGGACTGTAATCACTTCATCTCTGAGATCATGTCCCCCATTTCCTCCCTAGTTTCTCCATTGCCATCCCCACCATGTTTCTTGGTAGAACTTAATACTTGCTCTCTACATTCATAAAGGGATCCCTTAATTTTTTTACCAGCTGGTGACAAAATATGCCTACTTTTTTTTTTTTCTTTGAGAGAGAGAATGAGGTAGAGAGAGCATGAGAGGGGGGAGGGGCAGAGGGAGAAGCAGACTCCCCGCTGAGCAGGGAGCCCGATGCGGGACTTGATCCCAGGACTCCGGGCTCATGACCTGAGCCGAAGGCAGTCGCTTAACCAACTGAGCCACCCAGGCGCCCAAAATATGCCTACTTTTATAGATAGTTCCTGGAAGGAGAAATACACAGTGAGAGAAAGGGAGGGGTGGTGGCTGCCAGACAGAAAACTTCAGAGAAAACTCTATTGACTCAGCCTAAAGAAACACTGGAAAAGAGATAGAAAGAGAAACAGGAAGATAATCATCAGATAAAATAAGATCCAGACTTATTTTCTTAGCCTTTTAGAGCCTACTCTTTTCCTTCTCAACTGAGATTTTCAAGGACAGACTCATGCCAAATCTATCTTGGTATGTATGGCACCTACCAGCACACCTATCAAATAATACTCAGTAATTGCTTGGTGGTGAAAAGAATGAATCCTTAGTAGGAGGTTGTACTCTTTCTGTTTTTTTTCTCAGGCCTCTCCCGTTGGATCTTGCTCACTATTTTGGGTTTGCAGCATTCCAACAGCCCAGAAGAGACCCAGTTGGATATATCTTTGCTTTAAAATATTTTTTTTACTAAAGTTCTTAAAAAGTAATAACTGCTTTCCTTAATTAATTTTTTCTCATTATCCAGTACTTACCGAGCACCTGATCTGTGTAAGGTACTGCTCCATGTGATGGCAATACAGCCATGAATAAAACAACATCCTTTATTGTATGTCAGACACTGTGTTAAATGCCGTAGACTTTACTTACATTACTTACATGTAATGTCAGTACTTTACTTACATTATCTCATTTAATGATTAAAACCATGGTTGAGTGGGTATTTTCCTCAATTTGAAAATGAAGTTTCAGAGATTCAAAGCTTAATTAAATTTCCAAGGATCTCACAGCTAGGAAGTAGAAAACAGAAGTCAAACACAAGTTTAAATGATTCCAGGTTTATGCTCTTAATTAGCAGGCTCTACTACTTCTAGACCATGAATAAAGAAACAGGAATTACATAAATCAGAACCTAAGCTGTAAGAGTAAGTCCAACAAAGGTTAATAGTTTGTCATGAAGAATTTTTTTTTAAAGACTTATTTATTTATTTGAGAGAGCGAGAATGAGAGAGAGTACATGAGAGGGGGGAGGGTCAGAGGGAGAAGCAGGCTCCTCGCTGAGCAGGGAGCCTGATGCGGGACTCGACCCTGGGACTCCAGGATCATGACCTGAGCCGAAGGCAGTCGCTTAACCAACTGAGCCACCCAGGCGCCCTGTCATGAAGAATTTTTAAGAACCGGGGCGCCTGGGTGGCTCAGTCGTTAAGCGTCTGCCTTCGGCTCAGGTCATGATCCCAGGGTCCTGGGATCGAGTCCCACATCGGGCTCCCTGCTTGGCAGGAAGCCTGCTTCTCCCTCTCCCTCTCCCCCTGCTTGTGTTCCCTCTCTCGCTGTGTCTCTCTCTGTCAAATAAATAAATAAAATCTTAAAAAAAAAGAATTTTTAGGAACCTAGTTCTGTGGGCCTGGGTGCATAGCAACTTATTTCCTGCCAAATTAAATCTCCCACATATTGTCTTACCAGGAATGATTTGATTAAATCCCGTAAACAGCTCTTTGACAAGCATCCTAAATATGCATTGTTCACACTCATTTTCGTTTGTCCACCATCTGTGCAGCTATGGAGAGGAAATATATATCAGGGTACTGTGGACAGTTCAAATTCATATTTGATACAAAGCGGGTCAGTTTTTGTCCATCTGAACTATAATCTTTTCATTCCTTCAAAAAGATGCACTGAGAGCCAGCTATGTATCAGGCACTTCAGGAGGATGTAGCAATCAAAAGATAAGAATTCTGCTGTCCTAGACCTTATATATGGGAATTGGGGAAACAAAAGATGAATTTAAAAGATAATTTCTGATGATTATAAGTGCTATGAAAAAAAAATGTGAAGGATCTGTGAGTAGGTGAGCATAGGATAGGAAGGGGAAAGGTCTTACCGAGGAGATGCTATTTGAGTTGAGTCCTGCATAGTTAGAAGCAGTCATCCATGGAAAGATACATGAGAAAAAAAGAAAATGCACCAGGCAAAAGCAGGAACAAACTGCATTTGTTTGAATAACAGAAAAAAAAAAAAAAAGGCTTTTGAGTCTGTATCAGAATAAGCTGAGAAGAGAGGCGAGAAATAAAGTTAGAAAGATGGGTACGGGGCGTCTGGGTGGCTCAGTCGTTAAGCATCTGCCTTCAGTTCAGGGCATGATCCCAGAGTCCTGGGATCAAGTCCCACATCGGGCTCCCTGCTTGGCGGGAAGCCTGCTTCTCCCTCTCCCACTCCCCCTGCTTGTGTTTCCTCTCTCACTGTGTCTCTCTCTCTCAAATAAATAAATAAAATCTTTAAATAAAGAAAAAAAAAAAGAAAAGAAAGACAGGATCCCAATCACACAGGGCCTTATATGTGTGACCTTGTGATGCACTGTCCAAACCAAAGACATATTCAAGAATTGAAGGGGATGTTCCTACTAATTATACCAGGACAATGGGTATAAACCCAGAATTTCTCATAAATAGCAAGATTTATAGTTACCCCGCTAATATGCCAGGAGTTTGAATTTTATTCCAGTATAATTGCGAGCCCTTAGATGGTTTTAAGCAGGAGAATGAAATAACTTGATTTGCATTTCATAAGTAATCACTTTGGCTGCTTCTGAGATGGATCAACTTTAGAGACTCATAATGTAATCCTGAGAAGTGATATTGGCTTGAATGGTATTAATACAGCTGAAAAGGAAGTCACTAATTTGGGATCTATTTTGTAGACAGTGTAGACAAGACATGGGTTGGATGTGTAAGGGTGAGGGAAAGAGAAGAATAAAAGCACCTGCTGGGCTCTGGCTCCTGCCTCTGGTGAATGAAGACATCCTTTACTGGGTTTTGGAAGGACTGACAGAGGGATTGGTTTCGGAAGATGGGAGTGAGTGGAATGAGAAGTCTGGTTTTGACCATATTAAGTTTGAGATTCCTGTTAAAAACACAAGTGGAGCTGGAATATACTTTCTTTTCTTACTCTGTTTAGAACAGCTTTCTTGCAATATTATCTGTATCCTTAATAAAACAATTTAGAATGACATTCAAATATTCTATTGAAGTGATTTTCCACTTAGCCTCTTCAATTATATCTTGTTTTCACTATCTGGTGTTTGAAATTACTAACATTACCAATTGCCTTTCTAGGAAAGTATAGATCTGGGTGAAATCATGTTCTCCCTTTGTTATTTGCCAACTGCTGGACGTATGACATTGACGGTCATCAAGTGTAGAAATCTGAAGGCTATGGACATCACTGGCTCATCAGGTATGTACACAGTTGGCTAGTGGGTCAAGGGTACATTCCAAATAAAACATTTCCTGTATCCAAAATTATATATGGCTATTGAATTTGAGTTCATTTGTTTATAGTGGGATATTAATATCAAAGTAGAAAAAGAAATTACCAAAGTACTTCAAATCACCTCTTGTGTTTACATTATCATTACAAAATTTTTAAAAGATGTTATCAAATAGATTGACTATGAACTTGGATTTTTATTTCTTTCTCTACCGATTTTGTTCTCAAAAATTCATAATTTACCAATCACTGCCCTACTTCTAACTAGTCAGTTGCTTATAAAACAACATCCTTGACCTCAAGTTTGCATTACCTTACAAGTATGGAAGCACACGTAGACTGAATTTATCTCCCTCACCTGATCTGCAGAGAAATAACAAGTTTCCAAGGCCATCATTTGCATTTGCATTCTTACCACCTTTCAAAATAAAAATTTGGGCAAGTGTAGGGACTGAAAGAAATAATAAAGTAAAGGAATGCTTCTTGAAGTTTCTTAAAGATGTTCTTGGAGGAAATTTCTCTTTCTGTGCTAATTTTGATGAAAAGGTAAAGCCACATCATGCTCTTTTACCCCTTCATTTATATCACTACAGTTTGGAGGGGTGTGTGTTAACTTAACATGTGAACTCTGGCACAGCTCTATAGAAGAAAAAATGGATCAGGACAGAGGAGGGAGGTCAGTAAGCATTTGTCAAATTAAACAAATAAGAAATGGTAGTGGAGATACAGGAAAGGATGACATGGGGAAAGGAATCTATAACTTTGTGGTTCTTCAGAACAAAGAAATAAACTAAATTTGCGTTACAAAAAGCATGAGGGAACTCTTAAGTTCTAGTGTAGAAAGGGCTCCAAGTGAATAAAAAAAAGTGAGGTGCAAAAATAAATATGGATATCATGCTCCTTTCTGTGTAAGAATGGGGAGTGTTACAATATATATTTATGTTGTTACTATTTGCAAAAAGAAATAGCAGAGTGACACAGGAAAACTAGGGGTGGAGAGAGACATGTGGGAACAGATGGGTGGGAGCCTCCTCATTGTAGGTCGTTCTCTATCATCTTCACTTTCAAACTGTTTTGTGAATAATTTTTTCATTTTTCAAAATTTGCAACACGCCATTGATATATAAATGTAGAAAGAAAGTAAATTCCACATTTATTTTGGAGAAAAAGTCCTGGGTCAGTAAATGTTGAAGAATTTAAGCAGTGTACTCTGCAAATTATCGTTTATCCTACTCTTTCCACCATATATCAAAAGAGATCAAATTCTGAGACAAGCAGACAGCATCAAAGTTGTAATTAAGTGCAAGATTACTTTTTGTTTATATGAAGCTTTTCATGGGAGGAGTGCCTACTCTGAGAACACCACCTCATTAATTCTCACAAGAGGTTTGTGAATCAACTAAGGAACCAGTAAATTATCCTTACCACTGGTGGAGAAATGTCGTCAGAGATATGATGGGGGTGGCAGGGAATAAAGCATGCCTTGTTCCCATTGTTAATGAGAGGTCTAGGCCTGGGGCCTCATACACAAAAGAGTATCACAGAAGTGAGTTTCTTCCTTAGAACATACTGCCTATTATTAAAAAATTGAGAAGTAAATGGGAAACAGCCATTGAACATTGCCATTTTACTTTGTTTTCCTTTACATACCCTATTTCTAGCCAGAAAATATATTTTTGCTCCTTGATGGAAATGCTTATGCAATATACAGATACATTTTTCTAGAGCTTAAAAGTCATAAATTCAAGTAAATTTATACTGCCATGATTTTGGCTTATTCTAAGGAAATGAGACTTATTACTACATTGGTGGAAAGAGGGAGAAAGATGTGGTGGTGCTACTGTTGGAGGGCCACCAGAATAAATGGGGGAAAATAAATGAACGTAGAGCAGACACTGATTGTTTTAACCAGCTAGCATTCTCACCCCAGTGCCAACACCCCCTCCCAAAGCCATGCCTCCTTCTTGTAAAAAGGTACAAAAGTAAGGCTTTTATAGAAACTTTCGTATAATACTGCATAATTTTCTGTAATACTGTAACAGTTTTCCTACTCAAGGTGGGAGAAGTAAAAATAGAGATCAGTCAACTGGGGTAGAACTTGTTAAACATTTATTTGACCCCTTTGGCCCATAAAAATATACCCCTACTAATTTTTTCCCTTTCAAGTCGGCATCATATAGACAATGTCATATCAAGAACCTTCCTTGAGAACATCTTTAAACCAAATATTACCTTTTTTATTGTATACTATTGTTTATAATTAAACAATGTATTTAATATATTTGTAGTGATCATTTCTTCAGCCTGAGCCCCTTATCAAGCACCAACACTATGACTGTAAAATGAAACTTCTTATTTTAGTACCTTTCCAACAACTGAGGAAATTCTAACTTCTACTCATTGTGGGTACACACACACACACACACACACACGCACTAGATACAATGTTACTCTGACAAATTTTAGTCTTCTTATCCTAAATCATTTTGAAGGAAATTAACTTTAAGGCAATTATACTTACTTGTTAGGATTACATTCCCTAGAAATCACTTTTAACAAAATGTGTCTTCAAATAGCTGTGACTAGAAGACATTATTACAGTTCTGCACTGGCTCTTGATAGACTAGGTTTTCTCTGTTGTATTAAAAACAGATAAAGTTAGTGCTTTTTTGGTTCATTCAAGATAAATTCTTACATTTAAAAGAAAGTGTTAGTCTATTGCCCCTAAATAAGTCATTTTGAATTTAAAACTGATAACACTAAAAGGCTTAATATACCACTTTTCTTATTTAGTAGCAATTAACTACAGTTTTATTTATACTTTGTACTATTACTTTCATTTTAATGAAATTACCTTACCATTCCTAGATCCTTATGTCAAAGTGTCTCTGATGTGTGAGGGTCGAAGATTAAAAAAGAGGAAAACAACTACAAAGAAAAATACTCTAAACCCTGTGTACAATGAGGCCATTATTTTCGATATCCCTCCAGAAAATGTGGACCAGGTCAGCCTCTCCATTGCGGTCATGGATTACGATAGGTATGTACATGTATTTCTCACTCACTGAAGAACAGCCATGTTTAGTCATATGCAGAGCAAATTCAACTTTCCAGGTTATTTACTGCTCTAACAGTTTTAATTTAAAATGGAAGAGGAAAAAATTGTTCATTCAAAATTCATTTTTCCCATGTTATAATACTTCTTTTTTCTTTTCCAAAAGACGTCATTCTTAAGTTGCAGAACAGGACACCTGGGGCTGGTGAAAGAGTAGTGCAGAAGTAATACGGAACCCATTACAGAAAGCACTATAGTGACGTCTTTTTACAGTAACAACAGAAATCACAATCAATGGAGTTTGTTTTCCCAACTGGGCTGGAATATGAATATCATAATTCTTACCCAAGAGCAAGTTATGTAAAATCTTTGGGATTCACTTTTCCCATTTGTAAGACATGAGCATAATACAGAACCATTAACAGTGAGTATTAGGGGTGGAAGGTGAATAATGGCCATAGGGACACAGCCTTGATGCCTTTACATCAATCTTAAAATGTGCTTTGTAGGTAATTCTTTCAGCTCACACCTTTTGAGTCAATTCTTCCATAAAATAAATTGCAAACTCCCAATTGCAGCTCTGACGTTTCGTCCTGCTTCAGCTCCAGCTTTACTCTCCCACTCTTGGCCTTGTCTGAAACGTCACCCTGCTCTGTGATCTCATCCCACCCAGGCTTCACAACCCTGCTCAAGTCACCCCTTCTGTGTCTTTCTCAGCTAACCAACCTCTTCTTCCTCTGAACTCTTGTCCCACCAAAGGTTCAGATCTCTTATTTGGCCCTTGTTATATACTTCTTTGTATTGTTTTACCTTTTATATTTATAAACCTTTTGGAAAGGTATACTGTTATGTTTAACCTACAAAATTACGAGCATATAGACAGTGTTCTACTATGTTTATTTTGTACTAATGTATTCAAAAGGAGTGCTCCATTTTATAGTATCATGAAAATAGTAGTAACCAGGACCCTATAACCTAGAGAAATTAATATGCTATTCTCTGGCTCAGAGCTAGAAAATGAAGCACTAAAAAAGTAAAATGATTTATACCATCTATTTGCAATTAATTAATATCACAGTTTGGGAAAAAACTGTCACTATTTAGAGAGAGAAAAGTCTTGAATTAGTTAAAATTTCAAACTCTAAAAATGTTGCAGTGTTTTCATCAGAAGCCCTTGTTCTGCTTTCCAAAAAAGTATTGTTATTGATTTTTCACAGTGATTGCAGGTAGATAGAACAGAGCGTTTGTCATGCAGACAATTTCAGGGAAATTGATCTTGACAATATACACAAAAGAAAGATTTAAAAAATTATTCCTAAAAATATGCTTGTTTGGGGGTGCCTGGGTGGGTCAGTCACTTAAGCGTCTGCCTTCGGCTCAAGTCATGATCCCAGGGTCCTGGGATCGAGCCCTGCTTCGGGCTCCGTGCTCAGCGGGGAGCCTGCTTCTCCTTCTCCTCCCTGCTCCTGCTCTCTCTTGCTATCTCTGTTTCTCTCTCAAATAAATAACAAATAAAATCTTTAAAAAAATATGCTTGTTTGGGAAACTTCATATGGAAGAAACAACTAAACATTCATATCTATATCAATGACAGGAAGAAAGTAATGAAAGGTCCTAAAATCATCTCTAAAGTCTCCTTAGAGAAGTCTGTCAAAAGAACGCTGCAGAAATGCCTTTAAATTACATTCCATTCTTGAGAAGCAACTTAGCACATGCACACTTGAGTCAACTGTCTTGATTCAAATCCTGTCTCTGCCTCTTACTGTGTAGAGGTGGGTCCCTTAACTTCTGGGTGTTTAGTGTCTTTATCTGTAAAATGAGGTGATGATAATGATACTCATGGTCATGGTGTGAGAATTAAGTGACTCAGTACATTTACATCACTTATAACAGTGTCTGGCACATAATAAGCTCTCAAAATTATTAAGTATCATTGTTATTTTGATTTGTTGCTGTGAAAACAGGACAGGAATAGAAAATAGCAATGATGTGCAGTATGCTCTGTTGCTGTGCAGTAATAAGTCAAATCCGTAGTACTGAAGATAGCCCTACCCTGTTTAATTGTAGTACAAGTAGTGACATATGCTGACATGTCACGGAGAGGCGATTAAATACGGTCATTTGTACAAGAATTGGGCATTGAGCTCTTGGTAAGAAATCTAAGCGTCATTATAAAACATTAAGCCTTGTGGAAAAAAACAAGATCTGATTTATATCACTTAAAGTTAATAGTAGTGCTGCTAAAAAGGAAACTCAACAATATAGGTAAGGAGCAGCTGGCATCTCTCATTCAGTTTTTTTGTAAAATGTGCTCAAGTTACAGAGAACTAAAGTGGTTTGTGGGTGCTCCTTTTACAAATTCATATTTGAATTGATATCCTGTGTAGGAAATTTTGTTTACTTAAGATTTTTAATTTGACCTACAGTAGTTTAACCTGCAGGATCATTTGGAACCTATCATAAAATCTAGTGTTTAAATCATATGTTTAAAATTCTGCTAAGCTGTGTGAAACTCCATTTATCTTTGAATGTTGGAGTGAAAGTGTAATATTCTCCAAATCATAGGGTAGGACACAATGAGGTCATAGGAGTGTGTAGAACAGGACTGGACGCTGAAGGTCTTGGGCGAGACCACTGGAATGAAATGCTGGCCTATCACCGAAAACCAATAACACATTGGCACCCCTTGCTGGAGGTATGCTGTGGTTCCTGGGCATCTACTCTCTCTTTTTTTTTTTTATCTCTTTTGCCTTATATATTATTTATCTGCTAACATTTGTCTGTCATTTTATATATTCATCTATTTTTTTTTAAACATTGCTCTTACTTCCATCCCACATACTCTTTCATCCAGTATTCAAAGTTCTGTGTGCCTTGTAGGATTTTAGAAACCACTAAATTTTCTGGGTTTGATATTCCTTTGGACAGTAAGCTCATAAAAATTGCAAGTCTGTCATTTTCTTTGTATAGCCTGAAAACTTGTATCGATGAGTGATAGAGCAGTCAAGTAAATTCATTACTAACTGGAAACTGAATTTTGCTGCTTCTCTTTTGTGAAAACAGCCACCTCACCTAAACTTTCCTAGAATCCCTAAATAGAAGTACTATCTTCTAATACAACTCCTCTATGTAAAGGGACAGGTATATCTCCCAATACTCTGGGCAGTAAGTAAAAGTGCTCACAGATTTTTAAAATATTGAGGCATCAGCTTGCCCAAGTTCAAAGCCTGGCTCTGCTGTGTGACTACATATTGGAGAACTTTGGGCAAGTTCCTGTAACCTCTCTACACTTCTGCTGTTAGTTTGTAATAGTAGCAAACTCAAAGAGTAAAACTAAATAAAATGCCAAATTTTAAGTGCTTAGCACAGAGTTTGACATAATGTTAACTCTGATTATAACTACTATTAATAGTTATATTAACCAGAAGTATCAACACCAGTTTCTGTCAGGATTTTTAGCCTTTAAGTTAGTGGTCAGTCTACTTGATACACAGCATGTTGCTAGATGGAATGACTTTCTTTCCCAAAGATAATTGCTGGAGACTCTTGAAAAGTCACAAAGTAAGTCTTTTATGTGACCTGATTGAGAAGTAATGCAGGTTGACAAAAGGACGTGGGGTAGATGATGGAATTTCTGCAATTCGATTAAAAGAACAGTTATGATGGCCACATAGTAAGTGAAGAATACACTGCCATCTGTTCATGTTCTCCTTCTTGTTCTGGCTTTAAGCACTGGCTTACATGCAGGAGGCAGCACAGTGTAATTAACTAAATGTCAGTGGACCCAGGTTCTTTTCAGCTTAGTCACAAAAATGTGACCTTGGCTGTGTTACCCAGGACATTATAGGGAAAATTTGATGAACACTGTATGAACACTGCATGCTCAGTCAAGAGAGGTCAGATATTCTCATGATAAGATATCTGCTTATATATATTAATGTTCTGAATCTTTATCTCACTTCGTTTAATGTAAATCATAAAAGACACACATACACAAACATGAATGCCCATTCACACAGCACTTTCCCCTAGAGTGCTTCAGAAGTACAAATAGATGTATTCAGCAAGTCTTGGGAAAGTTGGGTTTCATGTCAACGGTGTGTATTGTCTAAAGTATAAAGTATACTCTCCTTCTTATTATACAATCACTATTCTTTTCCTGCTTCTCATCTTGCTTTCAATTAAAGTTTGAAAAGCGAATATTAATTCTAAGAATCTAGACATGAGAATAAAGTTTGCTGGGCAGAGAACCACACTGAAAAGTGATGTGGGATCTAATCCTTGCTCCTCTGGCTGTCTAATCCTGAGCAGATCACTTGTTCTGTCTACAGCTGGATTTCTCCATATTTAATGCAAATAGAAATGCATGCCCTTACAGACTTCACAGGAATTATGTAAGGAGAAAAGAGATAATGTGAGCAAGAACTTTTCACTAATGAAAAAACAGGGGTGGTATATTATATTATAAATACTGATGACTGTTACATAAGCAGCTATACATTTATCTGGTGAAGGGGAGCTCTGGAATAGGCATATGTTTGTGTCTCAGGACATGTGAACACTTTTCAGTCATTGTAGGACATACAGGAAGAACAAGCTACATATGGGCATCAGAAGAAGATCCCAGATATTTTTCTAGCAGCTGAGTATCAGAGGACAAATGGGACTAAAAGACTATGTAAATGTACTTTCTCCAGCAAGTAGCTCCTTTTTTCCAACTCCTGCACCTACATTCATTGGTCAAACAGAATATATGGACTAGAGACCTAAGAACTGGCTGGATTTTGCATTTTGGGAAAGTGGTGAGTGTATAATCATATGTTTTATTGCCAAAGAAGGGATTAAAATGAGAAGGGAACAATTATTTGAAAACTGGATAAGTTGGTGGGACAGAGACTAAAGCATCATTTAGAAAATCTGGTTACTTGTACCTAGTCAAAAGTTGATCCCATTGTAACTGAACTTTTTAAATACGCATAATATTTAGGGTCCATGAGAAATTATTCATCAACACTCATAGCTCCCATTAGCCAAAGTCAGTCCCTCTTGTCTCAACATTCGCCCCTGGAAAAATCACCTCCTGCCTTAGAGCAAGTGCAGTGCAGTCTCTTGTACCTTGAACCTTCTTGCTCTTACCAAGCAGTCACCCCCCCACTACCACAAACCATTAATTGTTTAACAGTAAGAATTAAAAGCCTATCATCGAATGTGAAAGGAGTCTGCAGTCATGAATAGTTGTGTGTACAGTGCTGCTGTGCTTGCCAGTTTGCATCATGCTCTGCCTACATCTCCATGAGACGCCTGTGCCCCATCATGCTGCCTGAGAAGGTGAGTTCTCGAGGGCGGGGGGAATTATGTCCATCTTCTCTTCAGAGACACGCATAGCATGGGTAGAATATGCACTAGTAAAAGTTAGCAGCAACTACCCACTTTATTATTTTCTTGCACTAGATCATGCATTATGAAATTATTGTCTTTCAGTTACCTGGCCGAGCAACCAGTTTTGATAGTCAAGGATCCTGTGCATCACCCAAACCACCTTCCACACCATAATGCCTCCAAAATAAAGACCATTATAATAAGGAACCAGGACCCTGTGCTCATCAGATCAGAAAAAGAGTGGAAGGTTTGATTTCCTCATTTAAAATATATCTTGATAATGAACAAACTTGACATATAATTTTTCATTTACTTTTTTTGTCTGTTCATTAACTTTGGACATCTTGATATATTTTACTTGAATACAAATATCCCTTACTTGCATAAGGCATTTTATTCTTCATGTCATATGCCTATTAGCACAAAGAGTGTTTTCATTAAGTTGCAACTCTTTGCATAACTAAAGAAATGCGTTCCTTTAAAAGAATCTGTATTTATCTAAAATTAAATATAGTTTATGCTGCTATTGTATAAAGTAGCACATGTCACATATGTATGGTTTTGATCTTGTTACAACAATGTTAATCTCTAGTTGTGCAGATGGTTCCATATAAACTTTAATGGAAATTTTGAACTTAACTTACACAGCATTAAATCCTTGTGCAAATTAATGTTACTTATCTGATAATATATTCTTTCATTCTCAGCAAATTACGTCCTCAGTGAGGTTTGGCTCTGCTAAACTCAGAACTTTGTCTCTCAAGCTCATTCTTTAAAACATACAGATAATGTTATAATTTAAAGAACAATTTTGAGTTAAATTTAAGAAGTAATACTTAGCATCTGGAAAATGGAGGTTGAACCATTTGGGCTACCATTTTATACTGTCTTAATGTTACATTAGTTCAAACATCTGTTGAACTGTTTAACTGATACTTTAAAAATTCTAATACTCTTTATCTCAAATGTAGCATTAGTATTCCTAATGAATAGAATCAGAAATTGTTCATTTTTTAAGTGTTTGTAAGGTTCTCAAGTACTCTGACATGTATATTTTGTGACATGAAACTATCATGTAGATCCATATTTCTGACAAAACATACTAACAGACACCAAAGGGACAATAAATGTCTGTGCTCATTGTCAATTAGATTGTACATAGTAATAGTGACTTCTTTTTTTTTTTTAATTCTTATGTTAATCCCCATACATTACATCATTAGTTTTAGATAAAGTGTTCCATGATTCATTGTTTGTGCATAACACCCAGTGCTCCATGCAGAATGTGCCCTCCTCAATACCCACCACCAGGCTAACCCATCCTCCCACCCCCCTTCCCTCTAGAACCCTGTTAGTTTTTCAGAGTCCATCGTCTCTCAATAGTGACTTCTAAACCCAATCAGAAACTAATCACTAGAATTGGGTATTTTCCTAAAGAAGGGATGACTTATTTTTCAGAAAATTATATAAATATACCATAAATAACATAACTTACACATTTAATAAAAATAAAAATAATTCTAAAGGCCAAGACACATAGTCCTTTCATGAAAGGATCAAGGATCAGGCCAGGAGTTGTAAAAACTATGCAAATGTTTTTACATGACGGGACTTTCTTTTAAATCAGGTCAACTTTTTATTGTCTCATGTCTGGGCCCTATCAGAAGGTATCCATATTGAATGACCCCAATCTTATTTTTGAGATATATACTATGGATAGTGCATATTTCAAGATTATCCCAAGATAGAAGGTTAAAAGAACAAAAAAATAAAAAAGAGCAAGAAAATCTGTACTTAGAATATAAAAACATATTCATCAGAATGAGAAAATTTTATCAGCAGTTATAAAATTTTGATTTTAGTAAAATCTCTTATTTCTAAATATTAAAAATTTAAAAGCTGTGAAATTTTGTTTGTGGCATCTCTCATATGATGGCATTACTGTTAATTCAGATGTAAACATTTTACACTTTAACATTTTAAAGGCAAACACAATCCCCTAAAATTTTTCAAGAATGCCTGTATCATCCTAGTAAAAGCAAGTATTTCTAGCTAGCATTAGCTGACAGAAAATAATAGAAGGAAACTGTTTGAAAATACCTAGCTACCTTATGAAGCCTAAAAGAACCATTTGTTATAGACAGTCTGACTGAAGATGACACTTCCATTTTGGAATTCTTTGTTTTACTAGGAAATAAAAATTGTCAAATGGGAAGACAAGTTATACTCTTAATAAAATGACATTTTTGCAGACAGGTGTTTTATTAGTAGATATAGCTGCAGCTTACAATTAGGTAGCAACTATATTTCCTGAACATAATAATTATTTTCATCTGAAAACATATTTTAAGGACTTTGTATGCATTCTTAGAAACTCTTGCTTTTCTTTGCCTCCTATGGAGAAAAAGCCAATGCTTGTGATGAAAAAACACAAACAACCAGTCAAACAGGAGACTTCACTGTGGGGATTATGGATTAAAATATGAATATGTTTTTAAGGTAATTTTTAAAAACTGTTTCATAGGGACTAGAATAAGCTCATCATGCCCAATATTTGTTGATCCTGTTAGGGAGATGAAGGAGAAACAACCACAACTTTCTCATGCAATGCATGAGGGAGGTGTACCCTCCTATCCATAAATTGTGATCATTTTAGAGGATATTTTATGTTATAAAGACATAATCTTAGCACTTTCAATACAACACACCCTCACTCTTTACACAGACACATCCATGCAAACCTATATTATCCTCCTCCTGCGTGTGATTGAAGAAGGATGTTTTTAATTTCAGTATTTAAAATAAATTTTGATGTTATAGATATCCACCACTAATTTGTGTGGGACACCACATTTTGGTGATAGCACTGACCCATTCTGAAGTCGAAGTTTAGGTATATAATGAACACCTAATTTCAGGGACTATTCAGGGACTTGTCAAACCTAAGTCTAGGGAAAGGGAGCAAGTCTTGATTCATTATGTAACAATACTAATGTTCTTTTGGTTTTTAAATTTTATTTATTTATTTATTTATTTATTTATTTATTTATTTATTTATTTATGTATTTTACCCAATTCACTAAGTAATCAGAGGAATGAGGAAATTTAATATGAAAAGTATGCTAATGTTTGAGGAGTGTATAATCTTCTCAGAAAAATCTGAACGGATGCTTTTTTTTTTTACAGTGGTTTCTTAATAATATGTTTCTTGACAGTTTTAATTTTCTTTGTTAGGCTAGCCATTCTGGAATTTTGTTTCACATGTAAAAACTCATGATATTAATATATTCACAGTTCAGTAAAAAATATCATTATGACTACGCCAGGGAACTAGAGACGGGAATGCAGAGCCAAGCATCCACTTTCTTATGCAGTTTTGGGGAGTGTGTGCTTGTTCTAGTTACTGCAGGGAGATCACAACTGATCAATACTGACTCAGGTTTTAGATAAAAGCAAATATATTTGAACTTATTTGATTGTGATATTTAATTGGCATTTCCACCCGTGTTTATTCTCATATAATGTTTATTATTTTAAAATTTTGCAGACTCAATAAGGAACTATCAATCTCATTAGACTTTAACTTAATAATTGCTTTAAAAATGAAAAAGCCAAACTTTCACTCCCTTCTCAGCTTTTGTTATCCATAAAACAGAATATAACTTATTTCAGAATGAGTTCTCAAAAGAGCCAAAGGCTATTAATAATAAAGAGACACAAAATCTTAACTTTGAACACATAGTCATTTCTTTACCTCTTTAAAAAGAGTACTTGATGTTAACTAAGTAGATATATTTTCATGGAATGCAGTTCCATCTGATTATTTCTTGCCACCTTAGTTGTGATTATTACCAGGTAATTTAATTACCTGATAATTGAAACAAAACAAAACAAAAAAAGAATTGATAAGGAGTTAAGAAAGTCATTCAACCTCTACTAAATCTAAAGAAAATGTGGAGATCTGTTTTCTTCACAACTTTTCTTGAAGCAGCTCTAGTTGTTCTGATGTACTTTAATTGATCTAAACTTCTGTAGTTTTTAGGCTAAGAATATATTGCTGCCAGTAAGAGATGATGCAAAAGCACAGAAAGTAAATAATTTAAAGTGAAAGTCTACATAACTAGATGGTAGTTAAACACAGATTTTAAAGCACATAGAAATAAAGATTTTGAATGCAAAATTGAAATCTCCTTTGTGCCGCCTTTAACTTCTACTGTAAGGTAAATCCTCTAATACTGCTTAAAAAAAACTCATGACACAGAATTTTAATAGTTCCTCAGTGACATGGCTCAGGATATGATTCATCTGAACCTACTAAGACTCATTCTTTAAAATAGTGAGTTTATATTTTACATAGGAAACAGCTGATTAAACGAAATTCTGTTTCCAATGTATTACTTAGCGATGCTCTTTAAGGTAAGAATTTTCTATTTCATTAAAAGACTTTTCCTATATTTACTCATTTTTATGTTAATTAGCGTGAATCGTAATTTAATAAAAGTTGCATTGGCGGGGCGCCTGGGTGGCTCAGTTGATAAGTGTCTGCCTTCTGCTCAGGTCATGATCCCAGGGTCCTGGGATTGAGCCCTGCGTCGGGCTCTCTGCTCAGTGGGAAGCCTGCTTCTCCCTCTCCCTCTGCCCCTGCTTGTGTTCCCTCTCTTGCTGTCTCTCTCTCTGTGTCAAATAAATAAATAAAATATTTTTTTAAAAAAGATGCATTGGTAATACTTGTCATCTTCCATTAACAGTTAACCAAAAAGATGTCTATTTGAACAGTGGCAGTAAATTAATATTCAGTTCAAGTGTTTTCTTATCAAAGTAAAAAGGCATTTTCGTTTCACCCTGTTCATCAGGAAGGTGGGTAACCAGGGTTGGATTTGATGGCATGACAATATCATGCTATAGATACTTAACAAGAAAGAGCTAAATTAAGGGCTGAAGTGAGGTTTAAGGATTTATTGAATGCAAACATTTTGAATACTAGAAATGGTGATTTAAAAAACAAGTAGGTGTTTAAGAGAAAAGATAGGCTTCTTTATGCTTGAAATGATTTAAATACACTCCTACAAGGAGGAATTGATTAGAATAATTCTATTTTTATCTACACTGAAACACTGGAAATGACTTGCTATTGATAGATCTAGAGGTACAGATAGTATTTATATGGAAATGTTTTCATCTTCAACTGACAATAATCTCCTCTGAGTTCACCTGGGTCCTAAGAACCCTCTCCAAAGAGCAAACTATGCCTGATCTTATGAAAGGGTAAAAATAGGTCATTTTCTTCAGAAATTTTGTTGTCATTTACATCTGCTGTGCATAGAATCCCTATTTACTGTACAGGGTGGTGGATTTCAATTATTCAATTTCATATTTTTGTCCCCTCAAAAACAATTTAATGCATAACGAGGCATATTATAGAAATGAATAAAAAATTGTTAAGAGAAGTAAGTCTCAATGTTGGATGGTTCATGCATTGGATTTTTGTTTTTGTTATCTATTTCAAAACTTTTTTTTCCCCCAGTCTGACCATCAATACACAGAATTATGTTTGGCTATAATTTTGCTGTAGAATAAAGTTTGTGAACTAAAAACAACAACAAAAACACTATAATCCTTAAGGCTACGGACAAGCTAGCCACAGAATCGGTCTCCATAAATATTGCATGATTTACTCTATTTGTACTATCTGTATCTACTCTATATAGATCATTTTGTGGGTTTTATTTTTTTTTCCTTAAAAAGACCCTTTAAGCTTTCCATTTAAAAGACAGTAATCCCCAGTATGAGTAGCTTCATAAATTCTATCACTGTATAAGAAAGAAGTAGGTGAACCAACTTTAATATAAAAAACATTTGCATTTATAGTTTTTTATAAGGAGTCCAACCCAAGTTCATGTCATTTACATTGACTTTCTATTGACCCTTCCAACTGAGAGAAGTGATGGGGTTCATCGGCAGTATATGGGTAAGTTATGGAACACAGTGAAGTGAGACCTTCTTTCAGAATGAAGAATCGATGTCAAAATAGAAAAGAGCTGCCTCACATTGTAAATGTGATGATTCAACCAACAAATAGTCCATGATATTTGCCAATTATCTAAACTGCCAGAAAACACAAACATTTTTCATTCACATATGATATTGAATAATTTAGATCCATCATATTTGATCTTT